TACCGTATGCCCAAACCACAACACTGTCAGGAGGAATTGTGAGTTTTATCACATGCACTGCAAATGTTACTTCATATTCCCTTCAAGAAAATCAAGACCTTCTGAAATCAAAAATACAAAATGTTTTAAAAGATAAGAGAGTGAATATAAATTATAAAAATAGAGAGTAAGAATGATTAAAACGTAAAATTTAACGGACCATTTCCGAGTAGGCCTAACCTTTGTGCTATCGCGACACCATCTGTGGGGTACAAGCGAATGCAAAATTATTGATATATTTTTTACATTTTTCTTTAATCCTAACAGTACACTTTGCCAATCTCATTTTTTATAAATAAAAGTAGGGGGAAAATGTTATTTCTGCTTTTTGTATTACCATTCTATAGGTTAAAAGAATATTCCTTTTGAGCTATGATAAACTGGTCCTTCACCTTGGACTAATAACTCAATGCTGGTTTATGAAAATTTCAGATGATTAATTGTTTGGCCAAAAAAAATAGTCGGTCTCTGGTCAGCTGCGCGCGTCGATTTTAATCATGGGTGTCAATCTTTTTTTTTTTTAAATGTTCCGCAATAGCTCCAACAGCACCCTGTATTGCCGCACCTCCTGATTTTTTTTTCTACCAAAGAGCACCAAGAAATGGGAAATTGCACCAAGGCAAATGATCGGGGACACCAAGGCAAATTATGGAGGACACCAATGTACATGAGGACACAAAAAAAGCAAACTAGTACCCCACCTTGTCTGTACAATCCAAGATTGAAAAAAAAAATGAAAAAAAAAAAATAAAGCCGCGTAGCCGCATCAATTCCAGAACTTTGGTCTGACCCATAGAGCTATATAGCTCCATGGTCTGACCAGACACCGAGTATTTTTTTTGTGCCTTTGAAATATTTCATTTTCAGGTATGTGATGATGTTGAGATGTTGGTATGAGAACCCAGAGAGTCGACCGACATTTAAGATGATCAGTAAGGAGCTGGACAAACTCATCAACAAAGGAAAGGTGACTACTTCACGAATATTGTGATGCAGCTCATTACGGTCATGAAATGTTTGAGTAAACAAAACCACTGTTTCGAAACTTTGTGTCTGCCCCTCGCTGAACACACACAGGTCTAGTGGCATGATTTATAACCGTTGCAAATCTGGGAGAGAATGTTTCATTACCTCTTTAATTCCTAACAAACCATATATAGAGTGTAATTTGGTTTGTATTTATTGACAGGAGTACATATCAATCGCGGATATCGAGGAGAGCATCTATGAAGTAGTACTGAAAGATGATGCAGGCGACAAGGTGTAATTAGTTGTTTATGTGAATTTCTGCAAGTCAATGGATGGAGCCGCAGCATGTAACACTGAGTAGGAAATTTAACGTACTGAGCAAACCAATGGAGCAGTATTTAGTAGTAATTTACAACGAATAATATTTTGGCTGACGAGCTTAAACTGTAAAATATGAAAGCGCTTTATGAAGAAGTTCTTGGTATTTGGGAGGACCATTCTTTAAAACAAAATGCAGGGACAAAGTACAAACTTAAATTTACATTTCTTAAATTCGCATTTCTTGTAAATTTACATTTCTTGTAAATTTACATTTCTTGTAAATTTGCATTTCTTGTCAATTTACATTTCATGTAAATTTACATTGCTTTGTAATTGACATTAAAACAGTAGTTTTTATACAACAGCTATGAAAATAAAAGGACGAAAAAGAAAACATTTTATTAACGGGGGAAACCCCAACTTTTTTATACGGATTAAAAAACAAAATCAAAACATGTTATAGAGTAGACGAATATTTTAACTTGAAGGCTCTTTAAAAAAATACTATGTATTAAAAGGAAACTGCAACATAAACGTATGTCAGCAAATCTATAATTGAGGCTCAGCAGACATTAGTATGCAGACTTGAAGGTCCTATTCAAAGAATTATATCATTTTTATACTCACGTCTCGAATTTGGATGCTGTAGGGTTGATGTTGTTTAAATAAAATGATTGTATTAATACAATTAAATTAATTTTTTTAATTACATTAAATTTTGACCTATTGTTTGTTTTGACCTTTTTTAACTGGTTAATTCATATAGTCAGTGAGTGTACACAATTAATGATAAGTTGCTGCCAGAAGTCAAGGCTTGTACATGGCAAAAGGACCAATGGATTTAGAATTAGAATTAGCAAATTTATCAGACCATGAAGTATTTTCAAAAAGTTAGTTTTAATAATGTTGGGGTTGGTACTTCTCCTACTATTTTTTCAAACGGACTAATAAGCGTAACAAGTATTACATTTCTTTTTATATTTGTTTTTATTTTCTTAATTATCCTAAAGGTATATGCAAAAAAGGGACACATTTAGTGCTTATAGTTAAATGTAAATAGATGCGAACATGTCATTGCCGTATATTTTTGGAATTTCTTAAACCGCCTTATACAATTCGGTACACATTGTAAAACAAACCTGGCAGTTAACTGTCTTATTGTTTTTTTTTTTTTTACATAAATGCCTTCCCTCAAAGACAAACAGTGTAACAGGTTTAGTTAAGACTGGTGGGACTCGACTTTGCATTATTCTTAACAGAAGTCAATACTCGGATGACTTTTATATGGTTCTAGTTATAGCTATAAGCAAAGTGCATATAAAGTATCTAAAATTATATTATAATTTCTTTGCCAAGGCTGGTCGTTTCAAGTTCTCTACCATGTTAGCACAAACAAATTCCAGACGCGCGCGCAAAAAGACTTTAAAAACATTGAAAAAAAAACACATTGAGAGGGTTGTAGAAGCCATGCAAAGAAGACGTTAATCTTCTGAGCGAAAACATGAAATCCGTTATTATATAATAGAAGAATCAAAATGAAACAAACATAATGAGCAGACTAATCCAGTAAGCTCCGCCCACCGCGCACGCTTTGTGGTTACAGGTTCATTATTATTATGAAGCAATAACAATAAATTTGAGGTGAGATGGTAAAACTTTTACAAAGGCAAGACAATTTCGCACAATTTTTGTTTATTGACTGTGTCGCACAGAGGGAGTTTTGCCAGTCTCTTTGGATCTCGACAAGCTCGGTGGTCGAGTGGTTGAGAATAATACGTCTGCACTAGAAAGCAGGAGGTCGTGGGTTCCAATCTCACCCTAGCAAGCTTGCGGGTTTTTTTTTCTCGCACGCTCTCAGACAGCACTGAGCATGCAGTGCTTATTAATACTACGTAGGTGAAGAGCAAAACCAAAATAATAGAATGTTTTAATTTTACAAAACCTCCCCGACGCAAACAAACATCATCATCATCATTCATGCAGTACCCCCTGCTTTGCAGATTAGAACCGGACAGCCAATTGAGTCCGATCCGAGCAAGATTGTGATTTTTTTTTTGGGGGGGGGGGGGGGAGGTTGCATTCACTTGGACAGCACTGAGCATACAGTGCTTATTAATACCGTGTCGGTGACGGGCAAAACCCAATATTAAAATGTACATCTTCCCGATGCGAAAAATCCCATCATCATATACTTGCGGGAAAGACGTTTGTCAACTGCTTCCAAAGTACTTTCGTTCCGCAAAGAATTTTTTTGACCGTGGGTTCGACCCCAAAGCCCAAATGGTGCGACTCGTACGTCGCCAACTGCTGAAACGGGTATTAAGAATGTCCGATTTCTTCAAGATACTGTTCGAGATGATTCCCTGTGAATGCAATAAACTCTGAAGGCTCATTTCACAGAAAGGGGTATATTTGGAGAGACAGATCAGGGTTTGATAATTTACAGCAAGAAGCTGTCACGTGCACAATCAGTACCAACATCTATTTTTTTTCAAAAAAAAAAACAACGACATGAGATCCCGAATGTCAGGGTCAATTTAACTATAAAGTACTTCTATTATGCTGATTGTTTTTCTGGTCCCAGAGGACCAGCAATCATTTGTGTACTTTTCTTACTGATTGACAGACTGACTGACTGACTCATAATTGTGCATTAAATAGCTTACGATGGTAGACTATGTCGGCCTGCGATTGTGAGTGAATTATACAGGGTGAGTCAAAAAAGCGGAACCCAAACACCCCAAAATATAATTCATATTTAAAAAATATGCAGCACCAAAACTAATAATGACTGGAAAGCCAATTTCATAAACCTCTTTTACAAGAAAAAAATACTGAAATTGCAAAGTATATCACCATTAAAATGCAATGACCCTAGAACCTCTTTCGTCCACCAAAAAAGGAACAATTTATAGTGTTCTGACTGTTTCACAATATCTTTATTAACAATCGTGTTTAGGTAAACAATAATATAAATTCAACTTTTTTAAAAGACGGGCCTTCAAAAGGACGTTGTTGAATATTTTTTAACATTTAGACTGAGGTTTTATCACTGATGAAGTTTGAAGACAATGCTTGCTTGGACGTTCAGGGGATAGCCATTGTGAATCAATTGAATGGGATGTTGTTCACTCTGGAACCAGCTTTAATAGACTTGCTTTGTCTTGCTTTCAGACAACCACAATGAACTGTGAGGTATTTGTAGGGCGAATCCAGCATTCAGGAAACGGGGAGTTCGATCTTGATTTTCCCAAAAATCATACTCCTTTAAATGACGTCACTGTTCCCAATTCTCTCTTTATAATTATCCTAATAGCTATGACGGTTAGTGTTCCCCATTTACCCTCTAAAAACTATCCTCCTAGCAATGACGTTGAGTGTTCCCCGTTTAGTGTTCCCCATTTCCCCTAAGAAAAAAATCCCCCAAGCCATGACGGTTAACGTTCCCCATTTTTCCTCATTAAATATCCTGGGAGTCATGACGAATAGCGTTCTTTATTTTCCATCCAAACGTAGAGCGTTAAATTTGTGTAATATTAATTTGCTGCTTAATTTGAATTTCAATAAATTTAAGTTTTCAATATTTACTCAATAATTTTTTTCTCAACTGACGTTCACTCGGTTTATTGACGGTGCCACTAAACCTTTAAACCTTTTTAAAATGGCTATATATAATGTGTGTATACTTTAATTATGAAGTGACGTTATTATATACATCGAATGAGAAACGACATAAGTGTCATCGTCTACTTAAACTACACTAGAGATCCTTCATTCGCCTTCCGTTATAAAACTGTTTGATAATTCAAGTATCCATGAGTTCGATGGTTCTGCGATAATGAATATCATTAGCAACTCCGTGCGAAAGTATTCTCGTTCACTGTCCCTCCCTTTATTACCTTAAACTTTTGTATCACCTCGATTGTGCCGAGCTTGACAGTGATTGGATCTTTAACTGGTCGTCAAGCTCATCCAAAGGCACTTTTGCGAACGGTTTCAACCCCCTTTCAACCACGGAAATCGTCTGATCGTCTGACGTATCGCGAGGTACGTTTTATTGCAGCATACTTTAGGTTTAGGGCCTATAGCTTTATAAAAGCAACGGAATGTTGATATGAAAGGGGGATGTTGAGTTGTGAGGGCGGAGTCGGGTGCCTCCTTCCTCCTTGGAAATCTACGATCTTTTTTTTTAATAAAAACAAAAACCCTTTACATACCTTTCCAGTTATAATACAAGTACATGTAAAATAAAATAACGGTTTATAAATTGTTCACAAATGACACTATAAGTTTGCCATCTGAGTACTTCATTTGTACGAATATGCACAACCTAACAGTGTATTGCAAGCGAATTTGAAGAGATCCGAGTATAATGCATTGATTATACTTTTGTTCAGATGGAATTTAAATGCATAATATGTTTCACCTCAGGACTTTCCTCAGACATAATTTAGTTAAGAAACCCTGAAAATAATGATCGTAATACCATAAAACTTTTAAACATGTAAATGCATTATTTGACATTACGTTGATAAGCACATAATTGCTCTAAACAAGGTGCAAGCTAATACGTCACGTGATGGCAATTACTTGTGTCCAGCTGATTCTTTGTTTTCTTCTGCTAGGCAGCAGGATGGAATTTGGATCAACACTGAAGTCGAAACATATTTAAGTCTTTGGCGTGTAATCAGATTGATTTGCAGAGCCGTGTGCCAGGAAGCACAGGATGGTTTTGGTGATGTATACAAAGACAATCCAAAATTATCGACGTGCGTTTTTATATTCAAACAAAATTGCGCAATATTTTATTTTACAGATGGCTAAACTATTAAAACTTTTCACCAGCATCTTCCGTCAGCACAACTTCATAAACGGTTTCTTGGAAATCCTTGATCGATATGTATTCCTGTGAAAAAAAAACAAATCAAATCACTCATTATCTAGTTTGATAGGAATAAGCAACCACTTGCCTACTTGCAATTACCTGCCCACATTTGTAATAATAATAACAATAAAATAATAATAATACTAATGTGGTGCTTATACAGCGCTTTATAAAAAAAAAGGTCTCAAAGCGCTTCACAAGTATTACCCCTGTTCATCAGGCCATTAGACCATGAGTTTTCGCAGCAGCTCGAGATCAGCGCATTCTGGTCTCTACCTTTAAGGGTACCCATTTATACTCCTTGGTGAAGCACCAGGCATCATTACCCACACGGCACGCGAGTCGAACACCGTAACCATTAGACCACAGAGCTCCAATTCAGGTCTGCAATTTTGTTTTACAGGTGTCAGGAATTTACCATGAACTGCAGTCTCGTTATTAGTTTCTTCTGATTTCATTTTTTAACACCCATTTCCTGTGTTAACGTTTTTATTTGGAACGATACCCTTTTCTGTAAGATAACAGTTTCCTTTAAAAAAAACGTTACGGCTTTTGAGACAGAAGATTGGAACTTTACACCTTCGTTTTTAATCTGACAATTGTAATTGACCGAAATTTTCTTGACCTCTCACCTTTCCTTTGTTGATGAGTTTGCTCAGCTCCTTACTGATCATCTTAAATGTCGGTCGACTCTCTGGATCCTCATCCCAACATCTCGACATCATCTCATACCTGACATTGTTGATAAAACAACTGTTCAATAATTATCTGGTTGGTCAACAAACAGCAATACACACTTCACTCCCGGGTGAAAGAAAAAAACGAGAAATCATTACAATAAAATAAGATGTACATTTACTCAAATGAGGGCACTATAGAATCCCTCGACTGAGTCATAACAATAGAAATAAGCTAGGCCTATCAATTAATCCTTACCAATTTTCTTTTTGTTTTCAAAATCTACAGTTCATGAAAGTCTACTTTTTTAACTGTCATGTAGACCTTTATGTCACTAATTCAGAATTTGCATCAGTTGGTTCCTTAATTAATGTTTCGCTGCATCAGCGACCGCATTCACTCAAAACATAATGACCAAATGACCTTGGGAAAACCAACTCCTTCGACGTTCATTTTTTCCACATTTCTATAATAATTGTTTATATTCAGTCGACCATTATTATAAATATTTTGCATTCAACAAATCATTTACGTATAATTTGGAAGGAGGCCTTAATGTTTTACAGGAAGATAAAGTAACATTTTCAGTGTACATGGTCTAACTTACAATTCCTCCTGACAGTGTTGTGGTTTGGGCATACGGTAGCCAGCCTGAAGCTCACCAACCATTATCTTTGCTGTCATAGCAGGGTATGGACGGGCACCTAATAAAACAATGAAACATAAAAACGATTTCTTTTACACCATGTTCAACAACCTTATCAACTGTAACTAACTTAACGACTATAGCTAGTAGGCATAATCCAAATACACCTGCAACATACCGTAACGAACCTCATGATCAGATTTGTTTTTTTTCTTCAAACCTTACACTCTTGTAGTTTCAGCCGACGGCGACGGGCTTTTCTTAATGCACGGTTGCTTACATAAGGACACAATAAACAGCATCCCCCAGAAACATTACAAGCTACGTGTACGACTATTACAGGTACCAAAAAAAACCCCCACCTATACCGAATAACATAAACCTTGCTCAAATTAAATATGTTATCAGCTGAAACGGTATCGTTTGGTAGAAAGTAACAATTGGAGGTGGTTTCAACTTGGGCATATGAAGCTTATTTACATGCGTAAGCAAGACATTCAGTTACAAGACCCAACAATACGTATCTAAACTAATATTGACAAATATATGGCTGATTTTAATGTAAACAAGCGAAGGCCCTATGGCTGATTTAATGTAAATATTACCGAGAGTAACAGTCTCCCACAGCAGTACGCCATAAGACCATACGTCACTCTCTGTTGTGTAAACGTCATCCAAAATGGACTCAAGGGCCATCCAGCGCATGGGCAGTGCACCCTGCAAACAATAATTAATTATTCAAATAATTTTTATTCTCCAGAATGAAGACACTAAGGTTACATTTCTGAGGGAGCACCCTGGGGTGTACAGTTTTTCAAGAGGTGCAATTAAGGCATTATGGTACATTGTTATGGGTCAATTTCAGATTTTAAACAGGGGGATGGGGCACCAGGAGCACCCAGTGGCACCCTGCGGGCACCCGTGGGCGCCCTGGGGCACGGATATTCATTGGGGACACGTCTCTCCCCTCCCCGCCCCCCGTTCTACCCCCCATACGCTACTGAATCTCCACCACAGGCACATACCTCTGAACCCCGTTCATACACTCGGATATTCATGACGTCACGAGCGAGTCCGAAATCAGACACCCTACACGTCATGTCCTCAGCCACCAGCACGTTACGGGCAGCAAGGTCCCTGTGAATGCACTGTGTGAGAATTAGGAAATTGCCAGTTAAAACAGAAGAGAGCTAAATGACATGCATCATGAAGTAAAGGTTCATGTTCTCGACCGACTCAAAGGTTTAGAGTCAGACACAAATGGAGCCGAACGTGTTGATTATATTCTCAGTTCAATGGCTCAGAACGATTACCTGTTGAGATGAGATGAAGGCCATTCCATCAGCGGCATCCTTGGCAAACTTCATCAGATCCTTGGATGTAAGTGACTTACTCATACCATGCAGGTTGCCATAGACGCGCCCTCCCTTACTACGACTGTCTTTAAGAAGGTCTTTCAGGTTGCCTCTGGACAGATATTCCACGATGATGTATGGCGGGTCTGATTGTAGAAAGGAATGAACAATCTGTAACTATCGCGATTTAATGTTTTTAAGCAAACTTTCAGCATCACTTAACACTGGACAAAGAACAATTCGGTAAAAAGAAAATGAATTTGCATCCTGAAGGACATTTCGTTAAACCAATATCAAAACCATAAACATCGTTCGCTGTGTCTGAAAAAAAAAACGAATACTAAATTAATTTCATCTTTTCCTGATTAATGCACTTCGCTTTCGAATAATTTTATCAAGTCTATCAATTTCCCCCTGTGCTTTCCGATTGATATTACAAAGTTACAATGGACAAAGTTCATCAAAGACGAGAAAAAGGCCTTGTTTAAAAACTGCAATCACCAAGCAAACCAACTCCGACCGTATATACCTTTCTCTACACAGAATCCAAGTAGCCTGACTACATTACAATGGTCTGGTAACTTCTTCATCAGGTCTAGCTCCCTCATCATGTCGGCTTTATCACTCTTGTTGGCTTGCTCTGCAGAATTCATATTGAAAATTGAACCGATATGTTCTGAAACAGTTTTATAACTTTTGTTGGCACAAGCAGAATAAAAACGAAGATGTCTTTAGAGTTATAGTGGAATCTTCACTATTACGTACAAATCATACCCCAACACCATCACATGTATAGAGGGAAATCACAAGCTGAAACGAAATGTGATTAAAACATAAATGTGATAAATGAATTCCTTGTCGTTGTTCACCTCCTTGAAACCTATGCATCCAATATACAAGCTGTAGACAGTAGCCCTTAAATAAGCCGGTTTATCGATAGAAACGGCAAGACGAATTGACGAAAATAAACAAATCATACTAGGCAATTAAATATTGTTCAATTATTTATGGCCACGATCTTTATCGCCTCGTAACTGCAATAATTTAAAGTAATCTGATTTGGTTTGTCACTGTACTCTATAAACTGGCAATAGTTGAGATTTGTTTTACATTTTCCTCGAAAACGTTACTTTTCAGCTAACCTTTAAGTGTCTTAACAGCAACCAATGTGACCTTTGACCCCTGTGTCATCCCCGATGCTTCAGCTAGAAGCACCTGACCAAAGGCGCCATGTCCGAGCTGTTTGATGATCTTCAGCTGATCACGTGGGAAGGCCTTGTGGGTAGTCTGGACATTTCCATATGCTGCGGTTCCTGGTTCCTGATTGGCTGGATTATTAATTACTTCTAACTCTGAAATGAATTTGAAATAATGACTACAAATTGGATGGACCTCAGTTATGCAAAGAAGACACCACTGTCTTCGATTTACATTGCAGTTTTTGTTTGTGTAGTTATTTTTTAGCCTTTTACTTCATTCAGCCTCTGGCATACATTCAACGCGGCAGGAATTCAAAATCATCTAAACTTCTTCCTAACATTCGCTTCATCATACCTGTTATCTCTTGATAGGGTGACTGTGTGTCTGTTTGCGGATGTTTGGGTTTTGGACGAACTTCTTTCCTGTAGAAGTGAAAAGAGTGGAATAAAAACTACAAAAAATACAAAGAAGAAGCAATATTACATGGTTACCTAGCACCAACGTTCGAATCTGTTCAGTTATGTACATAAGCAATACAAGCAGATTAAAAGCAAGAATCTAAAAACTTACACGGTCTCTCTCAAGGTTTCTCTGTCTCCTGGAATCAAAAAGAAAAACAATGAGATCACTGTGCTTAATAATTCACAATTTAAATATGGGTTAAGGGTTTAACTGTTTAATGGCAATTCCACAGTACGTTTTAAAGAAGTGTCTGCTGTCAAATCTAGCTGTTATTCTATAAAGCAAAAGCCAAGGTGGCCTCACAGCAGGTTACTAGAAGTTAGGTGAGACTAACCACATACTTTATTGATGGATTGGCAATGAGATATTTTTATAGGCAACTCGACGTCACAAAAATGACATGGCGAACATTTAAATACATTGCATTTGACAATTTCCTCATACTGTGCACCGTTGAAAGAACCATTTTAGTGCCCTCATGTCATTGGTGTGTAAGTCATATGCTAGCATAACTCTTATAACTCTCCTGCCCACATGTATTGTGCACGTGCATCATTGCACATTACAAAATGAGACCTACACGAAAGTACGTATTAAAACGGACCATAAAGACGATACATATGTCAATCTTACCGTTGGTGTGGTTCCTATATTTTCTCTTTGCATAGACTCCGAGCACAACGATGACAATTAACACGACAAATCCGACGATGACACCGACAATGACACCAGTACTGTCAACCGGCTCAATGGGTTCAGGAGGCAAAATTTTTACTTGGAAACAAAACAAAATTGCTATCCGTTTTAATTAAAACAAGGAATTTAAATTAAATCAGGCTTTACCAATTATTTTTTTCAGAACGTAGCAATACATTTTTTTTTATAAATAAAATCAAGTTCTACAGTCAAATGGGAGGAAATGTAAAATCCTGATGTTGCAATAAAATAAAATGTAAATCACATGTTAACCTAATGTGACATTTCGGTCATTAAATTATGATTTTTGAAAAGTTAGCACGACAAATGTTGGATAGTAAACTCAACAATAGCAACAGACGAATACAGTAGGACTTACATTGAAGTAGTCGTAATTATGGTAATTACTAAATGGCAGTGACAATGGTTACCTTCTGGGACATCTGCTGGTGCACTGCACAAACCACCAATGCAAAGTTTGGCGCGGACGGCTTCAATGTCCCCTACAGCTCGTCTTCTTCGCTTCTGTGATGATGCACAATGATCAGAGAGCGTCACTTTCTGATCTGAGGTGATGCAATCTCCACATTCCTGCCAGGTGTCGTTGCCTTGGTATTGTACTTCCAGCTTGATGCATCCATTCCCCTTCAGCCCTCCAACTCCCACAGTTCCATCTTTCTTGTTAAACTCTACAGTGATCCCTGATAATTGGATATTCAAATCATGTATGTAACACAAGTGGCAATATAAAACAAAAACATACTGAATTAAATTTTAACCCACGAGCGCAAGTGGAACATGGAAGAACGTAGTGCGCCTTGTGTCCCACATGCCATAAGGCAGAATAGCGAGTGGTGTGTGGGATGCAAACGCACTACATTTTCGGTGTTTCACGAGCACAAGAAGTGGAATAATAATTTATTTAGTAATTTCTCAAAGTAAAGATGGAGCATGCACGCTCTACGCGGAATTTTTCAGCGGTTATCATGTTACATTATTTTATGTATAGTGGGAACGGAATGTACATCTCATATATAGCACGATACGCGGAGTGCTGTAAAACCGTATACAGTGGAGTAATGTATCAAGGTTTGCTTGCCATGGAACGACCGATAAGAATTGAAGATTCAAGTTTGCTTGAATACACTCTGTATACTGTCCATTAAATACGTATACAACTGTATACGTGTCACAGCCTTGAGATGTATTTGTTTGTGAAAAGACAATGTTATTCAACAAACCCATGTAGATATTCGAATTGAACGTACCTGAGTCTGGGCCTGGTGATTTTGCTGTAAGAAAAAAGAATAAAGAGAGTAATATCGATCAATAAACTATTTGGGCAGAATTATGTGACATTTGAAAGGCAGAACAATGTAAAGAGTTTTTTTTCACATACTGGGCCGGATACAGGAATATTTGCGGGGGGGGGGGGGGAGTGGGGTTCAGGCCCGTCAGATTTTATTTGTATGTCCCCAGTACTGAAATGTAGACAAGTTTTTTTATCGTTTTTTTCCCCTGGACACTTAATAGCCTCCGTCAAATAAAAAAGTACGGGTTGGGGGAGGGGGGGGGGGGGGGGTTCGGGGTGGCGGGCTTAAGGGGGTGGGGTGGGGTGGAGGGTTGTGCTGGGGCCTTCTTGCGATAGGGGCGCACTGTTCGATCAATTACCCCCTTACCACCGCTGGCTACGCATCTGTGTCTGTTTGTTGGGGACAGGCTGAAATTATACGACATTATTAATACTAAGATTGAAAACAAAAAAAATGAGTCAGAAGAGGGGGAGGGTTACATTAACATTTCTATAAGTTTAAGATTTTTAGTAAGAGCGCCCCCCCCCCCGATCCGTGCCTGACATAGACCTGGGTGCAAAGTACGACACATTCGGAACTGTGTGCTGCCTTTTGGAAAACAGATTTGCAATGATGTTATGGTTCTCTATAATTATGTTAACTATTCATGTTTGTGCTTTAAATTTCGTGCATATAATAGGGCAACTCAACTTCCCCATTATCGGTATAACTCAAGGATTTATGGTACGCAGTCATTATGGCAACAAATGGAAACAAACACAGGCATGTTGGCAAGGGGCATGAGGAAAATAAAAAAATAAAAATAAAAAAACAAATGTTTTAAATGAACTTTTCTATTCTGCACCATTACATGGACACGTGATGATCTGTAGGGAGAAGGGTGATACATGTACATCTGCGTTGACGATGGAAAGGGGCCATTTTTTTCTTCAAGGCCAAAATTTTGTCTTGTCATCATTACATCGCAAAGAAGCAAGTAATCTACATATACAAATTGTACATAATGTATGCCAGTAACGTGATAAGACAGTAGAACATCTGCATACATTATACATGCACGTTTTTTTACGGTGTAATTCGAGGATTCCTATTGTTCCTCTTCCTCATTCATTTGTTTAAACCTAAACTATTTTTTTGCAACAGCTACCCACGCAAGTGTGTATCTGCCTGCAATCAGGGACCCCTTATTGTCCCTCTTTTGTTTAGGAAGACCTAGCTATTATGTTTTGTACAAGAATCCAAATTGGGGACCTCTCGGGAATTGCGAACCCTATTGTCCTCTATTGTTCAACGTCCCCTTTTGAATGCTGAAACAAACTCACCCACACAATGTTTATGGATACACAACCTTTTTTGTATAAACAGCGCCACCTAGATACAATATGAACACTGAACCCTGACCCCTGCATCACCCAACCTGCTTTTAAAATTTGCAACGCTGGAACAAATTCAGCTTTTTTCCCTCATCATCACACACAGTCAGCGACACAAATCTTAACCGATTAATATTTTGTTTTGCTCATTCATTTATCATATAGAGTGAACAATATTCTTCCCAAGTGTCAAAATGCGAGGAATTCCCCACAAAATACCGGCTTTTGTAAGTTTCTTTTGAAATTCAGTGGACTAAAGCCAAGTTTATCGTGTTTGTACTTTGAACCTGGAGCTGCACTTGACTAGCGGGCCATGACAATCATAAAATATGTTTCCTGAGCAGACTATGAGTTGTGGAGTATAGTGTTCATCTGTTTTTAACGTATATTTGTCCAGTTTTGACAGATTCCCCATTTTTTGTAATGAATTGGCGAAACAATTGTAATTAAAAAAGGAAGAACCATAGCGGAAGTACCATATAAGACGGTGTAAGGAAATAACTAATGTTGATATAGAATAAAGAATTAAAAAACATGGATGTAGTAGTATCGCCCCTCTTGAAAAAGGACCGCAAAAACATTTTAAAAAAATCTCAAAAGATAAAACAAGAAAACAAAAACAAATTAACACACAAAAAAAAACATTTACAAAAAAAATGAAAATTAAATTGTACAAACATTTTAAATGAAGTGGCCTATACAAAAGTGCAAGCAACGAGGAACCAACATAATAGTTCCCACGGTGGAGCTGCACAGTTGTAAAGTGATCAACAAAAGACTGCATGTATACTACGCCAATGGATATGACCACAGTGTGAACCAAATGACGTTGCAAAGTACATGCACATGTGCTGTGCAATAGCCCTGCTTATATTTACTGCCTGAAGCTTCCTTGATTATTAAAACAAAAACCCGCCAAAGAGGAACAAGGAAGAGAAAATATTTTTCACCCTGGTCCATAAAAAGAAATCCCTAGAATAGAATACCACTGGCTGTGAGGGAGATATTGTGCATATATACCCATACAGGTATAATATACCAAGTGAAGGCAATTTTTTATGGAATAAGAAAATGTATACTGTATGTACATGGTGCATGCAGATAAAAAAATATAAAAAAATATCCCAAAGCAGAATACACTGTTTAAATTTAAATTGTAAGGCCCTTTTACATCAAATGGTTTTTTTTTGAGAAACATTTTTCTGAGGTATGGGAGGTCATGATTCACAAAAGAAACCTCCCCAAAAATAGTCTGCATGACACTTAACGAAAGCAATTGTCGGTTATCAGGCAGTGTGCATGGCAAGGCAAATATAAAGGGGGATTCCTATGGCATTATCCAGGTCTACTAGACAACAAGTGTTCATAATTGATCATCACTTATTTTGCTCATAATTTCCGCGTTTTTTCTTGAAAATGCTGATCTGGGGACCACCAGTTGTTAGGTAGGATTTTCGGAGAAATCCCAACAACTAAAAACTGAAAAGAGCAATGTGATGACAATATGTGATGTATCTATGTACATGTATATTGGTATGTATGGGATACCACATGTGCATTTATTATACCGACTTCAGTGCGTTCAAAACGCATGTGTCATTTTTGTGCGTACAATATGTACACGTACTGTCATGTCACACCTGTTTTCATTGATCTTTATACTGTCTCCCAATATATACCATTATCAGGGTACGCCAACTTGAAAATCAAAGCGCGGAGATAAAGTCTTGCTTCTATTTGAACTATTACATGTCCCTCCCCCACAAAACGAAACAAAAAGTGCTAAAAAAATAAATCACAAACGACTCACACAATACACAATAAACACTTAAGCAATACAACAAATATAAAAAGAAGAAAAATAGACAATACTCACGCAGTGTATATCCCGTGGTGCTGCTATAACCACTGCTTTCACCGATGGCATTCTTGGCATACACCCTGATCTCATACTCTGTGTAGTCATCCAGACCCGTTGCTGTGGATGTTGTCTTCCCATCTGTCTCTTCAGTGAAGACCTCTGTGGAGTCTGATGTCTTGATGTAGCTGACACGGAATGACTGAGTCTCACCACCGTCATAGCCAGGTGTCCACGTCACAGTAAGAGTCTCTGCCGTCCGCTCAGTTATCTCAGCTTTAGTAGGCTTGTCTGGTCGTCCTCAGATACAAAAGTCATAAACAACATAAATATAAAGCAGGTTTGTAGAGAAAATTAACAAGTTTCTACCATGAGGGACTAAAGTTTTTTATCCATTCGGTAAATGTACCCTTACTTTCTCAAAACTATAACACTGATATTTCAAGTAAATAATTTGCTTTAATACAATATGGAAATGTATCGGGTGACAGTTTCAGGCACTTTGGACATATAGCAGGAGGGACATATCCTCCCTTAGCAACAGGCCCTTACTATGGACAGTATCTATTATTTAAATTTTGTGACATTGAAAGTAAAAAGACCCGCCCTCATGGGTAAGAGTCACTTGCAAGAGATGTAGCCTATACATACAGGTACATGTATTTTTATGCCAAGGAAAACAAACTGGAATAATATTAACGACGTATTATACATATAACCCATTTACTTTCTTACTTGTTCCATTGAGGATGATATTCAGTGAGTCCTCTCTCCCGATGCCATTCGAACTGATGCAGGTGTATACCCCATAATCAACCTGGGAATCTACTGCCTTGATGGTCAACTTGCTTGTGACTTCAAATCCCAAAACTCTGTCTCCACCAGATGTCTCATTGGTTACAAAGAACTTGCCTTCGTGCGTGTCACTGGTAATCATGGTGTTATTTGGACTATACCACTCCATGACTGGCTGAGTATTGCCCACAGCAATGCAGGTTAAGACGGCAGTATCACCATTACTGACTCCTGCTTCATTCATTGCCTTATTGGTGATGTTCACCTCATCTGTGGGGAGAACAAGACAATAAACACACATTATGCATGTCATTATGATATATTTCTCGTAATGAAACCAAGGATTCCTCAAAAGTGCCCAAGGCACTGTAGCTCACGTACATGCCTGCAGAAACCTGTAAAGAAGGTGATGAGAAGAAATTACAGTTTTAGAGGTTGGGAGGAAAACCCAGGAAGAATAATCTGGGGGAAACACACGAAATCAGGTAGGGACTGAAAACCCAATCCACACGTGGCCAGGGCAGGAATCAAACCCGGGTCACAGTGGTGGAAAACGAGGAAAGAACCGCTACGCCAACATGTTCAGCACGTGTGTTTCAAGAACTTACGTAAATCATTAGGATGCTGTTGTTTATTTTCCATAAACAAATTGCATTCTACAATCATTTAATTTTATAGACAATGGGTTGCAATAAATCTTCGACAATAAATACATTAACAACTCAGCAAATGAAGCCATGCTGACCGGTAAACAAACTATAATTAAAAACATCATTGACGTGATTATAAATGCAGATGATTTTTTTTTTCAAAATGTGAACTTACAATGGACATTAACAGTGATTGGAGATGAAACCACATCAGCAGGATTATCTGTAGGCACACCGTTATTCGCTGTACATGTGTAGTACCCAGCCTGCTCCCTCCTGATGTTACTCAGAGTCAGTGTACTAGTGACATCATCGTACACTGAGCTGAATGCTTCACTTGAGTCTTGCTTCTTCCAAGTGATGTCACTAGGCCTAGGATTGGCATCTACAGTGCATGTGAGAGTTACATCACTGCCTTCAGTGACAGGGGTTTGCGGAGTCTGCGTTAACGAGGTGAAGTCGGGAGGATCTACGGGGAAGAAAACATCAAATTACATGTAAGTTCTGAGTCATCCACATTATTGTTCGCATGATGCAAATTCAGTTTCAGTAACAATGTATTAACTTCGGCGATACTCAAGAATGTGGGCCACATTACAGACAAATTGATACATTATGGACAATTCCAAAATACCAGTGGACAAATGTATCTCATCAGGACTGGGAGTCGCCGGGGTGCGAATCTTTTTTCCCAAACGACAACCGTTTCCCATTTTCTGAATGGTACATTACATGCATATCTAAGGTCTTGTTCTCCACAACACAAACCCAAGATAGACTTTACGTCTTTTGAGAAATGTTCCTTTCTCAGTTTAGTTATTTAAAAGGTAGAAATGAGAAGAAGTGAAAAACGCTCACTGAGATTCAAACTCGGATCACCTGATTAGAAGTCAGGACTACTTCCAACCAGTCCAAAAATCAGCTTTCAATCGTCGGTGATTATTTAAACACATTATTTCTTGTTGTATCACATATTATCTAAAGCCCTGGACATCATATATATATGCATAACGCAAAAAGAGCGCCCTTTTTTGCTATTGTCCGATCTCGTTTGGAAAAAAAATCGCCGCCGGGATGAGGAAAGAAATGCAGAAAACCGAGCTTTTTACCTTCATGACTGCAGGGAAGGTTGAAAGACCGGTTCATATATACTTCACGCGAAATCATGTAGGAAGCGAAATTCATTTCGTCAACAATGGTGGACGCGCTTCGAATGTATTGTTGACGTCACGAATTTCGCTTCGCTTTCGCTTTCGCATGAAGTATGAACCGGGCTAAAGGCAGTCATAAGATGGCGACAATGGCCAAATCAGCATGTATCAATTTAATTTTATTGAATTAGATTGGAGCCTGATAGACCTTTTTTTTCATGCTGCCACCATTTCAGTCATGTTCACTGTATCCAATAACATTACAGAATGATATTTTTTTGAGCAAAAGGCAACCAGACTATTTTTTCCTTTCAGCCTCGCTTTGGTTACGTTGATTTTAATGGAAACTATCCAAATGGCTGCATCGTGATAATGGTCTATTGGCCAACATAACAAGATGTCTTCCACAAGAAACACTAAAAAGAATAACGAGACTTACATCTGACATTCAAAGTATGCGTGTCACACAACGGCGTAACACATGATGCGATGGATGGATTCGTGGCACAGCATTTGTACACGTCTCCGTTGTTAGTCCTGTTCAGGACATCAGTTGTGTAGATGACTGTAGTCACTCTGCCTCCATTATCTCCAGGAGCGTTGGGTTGATCAGTAGGCGTGGTTAGCTGTACGCTACCCTTAGACCAGGTTAGAGTGGTAGCTGGGTTGCTGCTCTCGGATGTATTGCATCTTAAGGTGACTGTACTGCCTGCTGTTGCGTCTGACCCTGCCACAGTAAGTGAACTGGCACAAACTGAAAATTAGACATAAAAAGCTGATCTCACAAAATGGAGGAGCAGAAGCAGCTGCCCCTGCACAACTTCACGAAATAAATAGTAGACATTTATCACAGCAAACTTATTATTTGTTAGGACAAATTTTGTGAATACCGTCAAAAAAAATGTCGAAACGACGACTACTGGCATGACCGGTACAATCTCAAATTCTGTTAGCTCTGGAGTTTTATCATATTAGTAGATTTCCCAATAAGAACCAATATTCTAAAACAGGGAAACACAAAAACAAACTACATTCCTAAAAATACATGAATGTATTCACACTGTACGACAACATTGTAATTAGCTTCATGTGGCACAAGCTGTCGTCCCAGTCCCCCCCACCCCTGAAATTGTGTTAGTTGTACAATTGACCAAATTCTTTCACAAGTAGAATTGACACAACTTGAGCGCCTCTCCACTGTAACATCAAGGCCCCCCCCCCCCTTCACCCACTGGCTCTCTATGGTGAGAAACCTGGCTATACCACTGGCTCCATGTACAAAGAGTGGGAAAGTTGTGCATGTATACATTTCAAATACAATTTAGTTTACATGCAATAATGTGCATGTATGATACGTGCTCAATTAATGCTTGTATACATGACGCATCGATGCATGTATAACGGTAACCATTTTCCCCTTTACATAGACATTCACTGAGAGTGGTTCTGCACTGACCCATGCTGAGTTGCATGTATATTTAATTTTGTTCAATAATGTGGATGAACACTTGTATGAACATTGAATAATAATGAGCCACATGGGTCGGTATTACATAACAATGTTTTAAAGAACAACTTCACCTCCTGAATAACAGCTGATGTTTTCTGTTTACTTGAGTTGCAGAGTAATATTTTCAAAGAGTATTCTGTATTTCAGAGGAAAATTCAAAATTAGTTCAAGATATTTCATCATCAACGTTAGTTTCAGTTGACTTACACTTGACATCAATCGGCCCCAAGGATCCCACTTGTCCAGGAATCCATGGGGCTCTGTTTGCTGTACACGTGATGATATGTCCATTATCCTGTCTCCTTGGTGTGTAGTCCAGCGTGCTGGTGAAGCTGTAGCGATCACCTGATGCTGACGAGCTCGTAGTTGGACCTGGTGAGCCTCCATTGGACCAAACCAGAGTCCAGTCATCAGGATATCCCATGTCTGCTGTACATGTTAACACAATGGGGTCATTCTCTGTCATAGATATGCTACCAGCATTGCCAGAGATCACAGGCATGTCAGGGGGACCTGAGTGAATACAATATGCAATGCTTGTGAGTCGATGAAGAGAAATCGTCTTTGTTCTGTTTTCCAGCGTTGCTGGTGTCCTAAACAGCTCATGATATCCCACGTCTTCAGTGCATTTCATTACAGTCACAACATTCTCAGTCATTGATATACAGTTTTAGCTGCAGTTATTATTTTATGCACAATGCACTGTTTCTTAAAGAAATCGAGATTAAAGCTCCAGAACAAATAGAAAACGATATAAATTCTGTCACTGTCTGTGTATGAGCGTTACATCATTTTGGAAATGAAAATGCAACGATCTTCCAATAATTGTATCAGAAACCAGAAAAAAAATCTTCATGTACATGTACACATTTTTTTTTTAACAATTCCATTTTTTAAAACTTTATTCTGACAAGAAATAAATAATCAATAAAACAAATGTCACAACGACATTCTATTCACTTTATACATGCATAATTAACATTTGTTTTTCATTGAACTCAAGGCTTCATTACATATGTATGAATGTACCGGTAGCTTTCAATAGTTTTGAAAGACTCAAGATGACAGTTTTCAAATAAGAAAAGGAAAACATTTTGCATTAGATAAATTATTTTAATATTGTAAACAAACAAAAAAGACGCATACCATTGACATTCAATGAAACCATGACTAGTGGGTAAGGTTGCTGTGACTCTGCAGTGTTGGCCACACACCTCACATCCTGTCTGTGATTGGTTCTGCTTGGAGTGAATGTCCAGGGTCTAGTGGTATCAACCAAACCATCGCCTGTGCCTGGATTGGATGGTCCAAAGGTACTGTCCTGGTAACTAGGAGAACCGACATCCCACTGGATGGTAGCTGCAGGTCGAGACTGAGCCTGACATGTGAAGGTATGTGAGGCATCTTGGTCTACGCTGACTGAACCTCCTGGTGTGAACGCTCCATTGGAATCATGCATTGACATGGATGAGGTCTTGGGTGGCACTGGTTGCAAATATAAAATAGGAATGTTCACAGAGAATTATCAAGACTACTGTATGGTATGCCATAGCACACCCACAAGCGCATACATTTAGATTCCACTCAAAACGTACAAAGTACATTGTAGATGTAAGTAAATCTGCTCTTTAAAAATGTCATTCAAAGACTGTGGTAGATGTAAAAATTAACCCTAACTCCCTTGGCCTTTTTTTCCTTAGAAAAATCCCCAATCCTGCAAAATCCTCCAATTGCCATTATGCAGTAATTGCATTCTGCCTCAATCCTACAAAACTCATCCGTTTTTCTTGACTTAATTGTTCAATGGAGGGGTGACCACCGCTTCAAATTGTCAAAATCCTCCAATTATCACTGTACACGTAATACGTTTGGGAATTGCAATACTATCTGGAAGCAGTGCGGATGGCGTTACATCCAGTAGTCCTCAATTATGTATGGCTGGACATAAACAATACAGGGTACAATTAAAGACTTTGACACAAATGGCCCAATTGAATGCAAAGAAAGTGCTTTACATGTATATATATCGATTCCTTCCAGTGAGCACAGCAATCATGCATTTTAATTGAGGAGAAACATGCTTGTTCCAATACACATCATTCCAAAATTTAATAGAAGTATGGAAAATACAAATACCTTTAATGTCAAGTGTAACGCTGATGCTTATCCCGTCATGGCCATCTTTATTGGAAGCCTGGCACTGTAACATATCTCCATGGTGGCTCCATGTTGGTGATAGGGTGGCCGTACTTGTGCTGGTCGTCAAATTATTGGCACCTGTAGCGTTATTGGTATTATCTTCTGAGAGACCTCTACCATTCACAGACCAAATGAATGATGCCCCTGGGTTGATGTCTGGTACCTCACAGGTGAACTGACGGTCCACACCTTCAATAAGATATGATGTACCGCCAGTAGAAGGGTAACTTCCAGTTGAGTCGGATAGGGTGATGGTTGATGGAAGCACTAAATTCATACACATACAAAAACGCTCTGTTACTGGAGAAAATGGCCAGCAATCAAAGTACATGCCTACAAGTGCATTGTACATCATAAAACAAAAACATATTTCTTGGCCCCTAAGGGGGAATTGATGACTGACATGGCTGATGGTGTATACATGATAATTTGCGGTGTAAGCGCTTCCATTGTACACACGTACCGGTACATACATTTGAAATTGAATTGCGAAAATTGTTGCATATCCAGGAACTTCAGAATGTATTAGTCTACCTGTACCCGGTTACATGTACATGTATAATGTAGTAAATAACAGGTCCAATGAAGACCTCCCCCCCCCCAGCGAAGCCGCACCCCCACAAAGCCGCCAAGGCAAATCCTCGACATCACTAACAGTTTTGCATACAGAAAATTGTGGTTTTAAATAATTAAATTCGTCGGTGTGTACGTACCAAATGCCTAACACAATTATACAAAACACAAAATAAGGCAAAATACCCCAACTTCATAGACGCATTTAAACACTAAGGGGATAAGACATTTAGTATTTAACCAAAATCAGGGAAAACACGTCTGGGTAGAAGTTACTTTATCTCCCCGGTGTTGTATGAAAAACAGAAAGAAAAATCTGCATTAGCGAAGACAAGATTAATCCACTTACCATAAACTATTAGATGACTGGTTGCTGTTCCTTCATAAATAGTAAAACCCTCTGCATATGTCACCCTGCAGCTATATCCTCCATCATCAACAGACAAGTGAGTACTTGCTATCGTCAGAGTACTCATTGAATCATTCCTTGATGCAACATAATCAGGTTCAGCAAATCCATTGACATAATTTGGTGTCTGGGCTCCGTTGTAAAAGTCAGCAATAAGAGTGCCTCTCTGACTCCATTCGATGTTGAATAAGGCACCAGGGACATCCAGTGAGAAGGTACAGGTGAGTGTTGCTGATTGGCCTTGCACCGTAGATACTGGTAACAGGGTGACGGTGACTGTTTGGGCGTGGACAGTTGGTGGAAAAACTTAAAGAAAAGATACATACATGACTTTTAAGTCGTGTTAGTTAGAAACAATGTAGACAAAAACAAACGAACAATTAAAAACACATAATAAAAAAAATATGGGCGAGGTGGTTCATTAAATTAAAATTCCAAATGAATATTGAAACTGTCAATTATTATTAACACATCACACAGCACATTTTGTTTATATATTTTGTTTATTAATCACATTTCTACGTACATATAAAACGTCTTTGCTTAACAAGCAACCGTTTTCATGGTCAAATCTGTATGGATTGAAATATTAATGACATAAACCACACATATTTCTATTAGACCGTTTCATAAACAGATTTGTACAACTGTATGATATTTTTTTTAATCTGGACAAGAAATTATTTCACCATGTTCAAATGGCAGTGTGCCTGGGCCTAAATTCAAGTTTTGGGAGGGGTGTTGAAATGGATTAGTTAGTTTTAATAAAATGTGGCCCATTTTCTTGCTCAAAAGAATAGTAAAATATAAGGCATTTTATCTACAACATGCTGTTAAGTGTTCGCACTTTCGTTCCCACAGAATTGGCAAAATCCCTCCCCCACACAGCTGGATACGGTGTCATTTGAAAATGTGGACTATGTAACCTTTTATGGACTCTAACGCTCACACTCCTGTCACTGTCCTAATAGTGTTCATATTTCATATTCTGTTGGTCGGCGAAGATTACTGCAACATCCGTTTATTTTTGTTCTCCACCATCTTTACATGTTTGACACGTTTTATCATTTTATATAATTTCATTTGTGTTATTTAAAAGTTTCTTAATATTTTTTAAGACAGTTAACAGGTTAAAATGTTATTGACATTCAACAGGTTTAGATTGATTTGTCGCAAGTTGTTTTTACTTTTTTTCTTAAGTTATATTTACATTTAAAAGTATTTTGGAGACTGTTTGTGTAAGGACATAAATTAAGTAACACCGACACGATCAGTCGTATTCTAAGCATTCTTTATTAAGTACAATTAATTTCTATCGACTGTACTGTAAATAGTGCAAAATGGATAATTTGTCCATATGCACTATAGGGGCGATCTTGGATTTTAAAGATGGCTTCCAGATTCAGTTGCATTTACTTCACCACAATGAATAAGAGTCTAGGTGCCGATAGACACTTTTAACATGTAATATCTTTAAAAGAATACCGTTGATATACTGCAATCACTACATAAAGTAAAACAAAATTATTTATGCGAGAATAACCATTACCGTTACATTTTATAAGTGCTCGCCTTTAACGTCCCACATTGTTGTAGGACGCGCTAATGATACCGTGATTATTATATTCACCGTTTAAACTAAATTACAGGCAAAATCCCAATGGAATAAAACAAAAATATATATGTATTCAGTTTCCTGCTGTGTCTGCTCTCAATTTTCATTTGCCACACAAAGACAACATTACCCCACATACATGTATGGATCTGTTAAAGAAGCCCGCCTCTCATCTCCAAGAATTTGCCACTAGAATATCTTACCTCCATGAAAACATAGCAAGCTGGCTGCTATGGTGTATACGCTGAATACCGACGCCATTGTACGCTGACTGAACGGCACAACTATAAACTCCGTCTAACGACGTCAGCTTTAATACACGGTAGTATTTCCTTGTACGTTCTTACAATGAACACATCGACTGAAGTTCGGTGAACCCGGATATGGTTTTATTCTGATCCAAATATGAATAAAAGTATTACACCTTTATCAAGGGAGACTACAGACCCGGGGCCATATTTACAATACTTAATCACACTGAAATCCAACCACCCTGCTAACTTGAGTGGGGCGTTTAATTTAGCATCCACGAAAGAAGAACCCCACTTTGTTTATCTAAGTAGTGCTAAAGTAATAAAGCAATCACTCTTGCTCATGCGCAAAACATGTGTGTTATAAAGTTTCCTATGATCAAATTACGGAAGTTCAATCGTTCAAATGAATTTTTAGACTTGGCCCAAATCTGGGGTTCGCTTGGTCTGTGTCTGT